TTTTCGTCTCCTCTAGGCCTCCGCCCCCCTCTCCCTTCCTCTTCTTCTTTTTCCACAATCAGATTCTCCACTATCGATGCCGTTTTTATTCTAGTCGAGCGATTATTGTCACTCCCACCAGACGGATCCAATGACTCCCCCCTTCCGTTAAAGTCGCTCTTTCTTTGCGCCGGCGGCTTCGCGGCTTCTCGGCTTCGCGGCTTCTCGGCTCGGCATTCCTAGAGTAACCTTTTCTCGAAGATGCCTCGCACGTCCCATTGCTTTTTCTCTCGCGACGCTTCGACGCTTCTCTTGCGTTGCGAATATTCTTCTATGAGAATCTGACTCTCCTCTCCTTATTGAAGTCGAATACTCTCCGAGTTCTTCGTGAAGATATTGAATTTTATTTCGAAATCGCAGAAGCCGTGTCTTGTTTTCACTTTTCCCAAACCCTTCGGCCCCTCGACTCCTCGACCCCCTTGCCTCCTACATTATCCTCCCTTCTTCCGGCTTCTATCCTTGCCAGCTGCCACTGGTCCCCTTCATTCGTTTTATCCTTCGCCTGACTTTTGATCTTCGCTCTCTTCGCTCTCTTGGCTCTCTTGGCTCTCTTGGCTCTCTTCGAACTCTTCCCCTCGTATTTCGCTTCCGCAGAGCTAGCCCGTTAAATCATTTGGCACACAAGTTACGGGGCAATTTGATAGCGCGTGTGTCACTCACTTTACTCTTGCCTGCTGCCTCCTGTTTTATTTTTTTTTATTTTTTTCATCAAACTCTCGAGTGACTAAGGAGAAGAATAAAGAGTGTCGCTTCGAAATCGCTTCCTTTTCACGCACGGTTGACTGGCTTGGTCGAGGAGGGAAAAATCTCAAATTATTTTCACTCAGCAGTCTTTTATCTCGCCCAGCGAAATCTCCGATTGCGCCCCTTTCGTATCTTCACCACCAGAGCCAGTTGCGTTACGTTTCTCAAGCATTCTCGAGCTCTTTGATTCTGCGCGTGAGCGAATTAATGAAAATATTACCTCCCACGAGTTTTGCTTGTGCACCAAGAATAAGCTGCGTCTACAGTGTTGACCTACTACCTACATGCACGTTCAGTACGATTTAAAGCGACGACAAAGCATAAGAGCAACGCTTAATTAAAAGGGGATCCACTTCCGAGAGTTCACGTAATTACGAGAGATCACGTCGAGAACGCTACGACTCTCTCGGGCAGCTCTTCGCTATTTATCTCCTTTTCCGACATTTTCTCTCTTTTCATGGGCTCATGAAAAATGACCAATGTTTAGATCAACTATTCGCAAGTAGTTGGCGCAGTAGTTGTAAATGATTGGAACGAAGGGATCGATCGATCACTTCGCCTTCCTCCGCACTTGATTGTCTCTCGAGGCTAGCGCTTCGTCGATATCAATTGTCATTCGGCTGTTCTGCCTCCGGTTCCACGTTCCACGTTCCACGTTCCACGTTCCACTGTGTCCATCCCATCTATCGGCCCACAGTCCACGGTGGGTTTCATTTGAACTGGCTGTCAGCATCATTCCTCTACTCGGTAATCCTTCGGCAGAATTTGCTCAGGTTGATCGCAATCGTTCTTGATCTTCGTTCCTCGAATCTCGTGTTTCGCGTATTTGCTAATCCTTCCGCATTCACGAATTTGCCTTCTGGACTTGCCTGTTATTCTAAGCCAATTCGGTCCGGCCGGAACTAATCATTCTTGTGTAACGTTGACAACGGCAGCTGGCACCTCCAGTTTTGCCGACCTCGTCAATATGTCTTCCGGTTTACGTGAGTCGAGACGAGACATCGAAAGTAACACAAACGACAGTCGAAACTTGTCGCGACTCCCTTAATGCTAATTCCTCGGTCCGCGGAACTGTCGCCGGGGGCCTTAAATCTGGAGTCTCGTAGAAGATCTTCGAACGTAACGCGACTATAACAGGGACTACAGAGGAATTTTCGGAAAGGCGTCGGAAGAAAAGAACATTTACACCTTTACCGATGCAGATCTTAAATAATCTGAAAAAGCTGGAGCTTTTGAAGGCAATAAGAAGGTCTACTGGGAATGCGGTGGCGTCGAGACTGCACGTCGTGTTTTCATTGAGTTCTTATTGAATTGACGTTGATATCATCTAATCGAAGAGAAACGAATGAAAGAAGGAATGGATTTATCGGCAGTCATCGTTTCCGATAGATTCTCGTTAGACGGCTTCATTGACTGCCAATCGGTGCGAGGATCATAACGAGTTATCATAACGTGCAGGAAACTAGGCCACATGCGTACACCCGTTCACTCGATCGTTCTGAGGATCGATCGATCTTCTTCAACCTTAGCACGTTGCGACGCTTCACTTTAGAAATTTCACGGGCGAACTAAATTCCCATTTGCGAAACGACGCTTGTGCGACGCTGCTACTGGGAGCGTCGGTCTCCTACTATCTACTTTGAGCCTTCTAATAGCGCCCACCGATTCCTCCGCTTCCACGTCACTAACTTCTTCTCTTTCCACTTTGCCTCCGTATACGTGTACTATATATTGATTCCAGAACGGCTCGTCGTTATTGTCACTCAGTACGACGTGCAACAGTTCCCTTCGCTTGTCAATTTTCATTTTTCTCCAGTTTCCGCTCTGTAAAATGCGATCAGGGAAATCGGAATACTTTTCGATTTTTTTTTTTTTTTTTTTTTTTAACGAGTTCGTCAATCTCCTTTGGACTATTCGTAGACGGTGAATGAACTTTTAATTTTTGTTTTTTTTTTTTTTTTTTTTTTTTAACGAGTTCGTCAATCTCCTTTGGACTATTCGTAGACGGTGAATGAACTTTTAATACTATCTACATAAGAGTGAGCCCGTTCACAATGTACACGATAGAACTTCTACACCAGCAAAATACGTCCGACACAGAAGAAATTGCGATGTTTCCATAGGAGAACATGTAATATATGTATAAGCCGACCCATGTTGGATATTACAGTACACGTACCTTTATAAGAAAATACAAGATTCCCACTGGCGAGAAAAGATTCGTTAGTTCTGCGGAGGCCCGAGTGCTCCCTGAATCCTGTGAACTCTGAACTTTCAGTGCCGCAACGATCGAAGTCAATACTCAATGTCGCAACCACTCTGCCGTGAGCTTTCCTTCGCAGAAGACTCCTCGAGAATTAAATCGCACTACTTTTATATCCGATAACTTGGGCGCAGGAATCCTTTGGCCTGCTGCTGCAAAAAAGTCGAGCTTTCACAGAAAAACAACAGCTGGGTTGAGGCAAGGAGAGAAGTGAAAAGGGAAAAAAGCTACAAAACTAGAGTCTTTCGCGTTGGCGTTCGCAGCAACACTTATTTGGCTTCCGTTAATTCTCAGGTTTACTGCGGTTGCTTTTCTTTTTTAATTATGCCAAACACGAATTACATAATTCTCGGTCGAGGCTACGTTACCCTGGAAACGGGGACTTAACTACCCAACTTGTTTAACCGTGGAGATGGAGTAAGTGCTCAGGACATGTCCTCACGGTTGACCTGTAGCAAGGTTATACGTGCACGTATGCACGTATTTACGTGTGCGTAGAAGATAAAAGGATTTTCCTCGAGTTTTCGTTAGCTTCGTTTCTTCAGCAGGGAAGAAGAGCACTTGGCACTTGCTTCGAAAGGAGTAACAGAGTAACAGAGACGATCAGTCAGGATGGCAGTTTTGCTCCTGGGGACTGAATCGCGGCCTCGTTACGTGCGAACTTCACGCGGAACGACGATTTTCATTCTTTCATTCTTTAACGATAGTTATTCGCTTATGTCAAAAGCATTGATTTACTCGTGTCCGCGAAAAGGATCAATGAAAGGCAACGAATCAAAGAATTAAAGGCCATAAAGATGTGTGACTTGAAGGACAGCCAAGAATGAAATGCAAATTGAAAGAGGGTTCGAGTGGCAGGACGAGTCTCGAAATTTGATGCAATTTCAATGGGGGAATAATTGAGTGGGAATTTCTCGAGACCCGGAAGAGGATAGTCTTCTCTGCAGGGAGCCTGATGATCGAGACGGTTCAGTGAAGTAAAAGTTAATGGTTGCAGCGCGCATAGTCTCGCACAGGACGAGATGATGTTTGTTACTGCACGTTTACGACGCAATGCGGATTTTATAGAGACATTTTGACGTTTGCTCTGGGGAAATGGCGCAGATCCCACAGCTGCTAGATTCGCTGGCAGAATCTTCGAGGCAGCTGATGAATTCTTTTGAAAATCCTGGAAAAGCTAAGAGATATTGAGTGAGGTGGCGGGGAGCGTCTTATCGTCGGTCTATCCGAACACTCGAGCATCGGAACCAGCGACCTGTCCGACCGCGAGTCGCCCTTATCGGTATGAGCAGCTACAGGACTCATGGCCAGACGAACGGACGAGCCGAGAGACAGGGGGAAGAGAGCCACTTGATCATCGGCATGACGTAAAGTTCGAGGCCGGTGACGCCTCATCCAGGTCCTAAACCAACAGCTGCTTAACCTTTATGCTGCAGAACGGAAGCGCAGTTTTCCTCTCCTCCCCGGAAACTCTCCCGTTTCCGGGATCCCTTTTCCTAAGGAGACCTTCGCTACTTACGAATATCGATTATAAACACGCCGTCGTATCCTCGGGGTTCTAGTGCTCGGAAGCTTTTGACGTCGGGAGTGTTGCTTCGAGGGCACCCAGGAACCCATGACCCTAGTCAACCAAGCACCTGAGTACCAAAGAAGAAAGTGCGAGTGCCAAGCGAAGCTGATCTAACTAATGAATCCAGCGACAGATCAATAAATCATGGGAGTCACGCGACCAAGGGCGCCTAAAGCTGCTCTATTGAAAATTAGTTGCACAGTCTCGCACGCTGTTGCCTCCGGGACGGCAGCTTCGCTTCGTACGGCGCTTGGTCCTTTGTTCTCGAGTACGTCGTCCAGTCGAATTGTCCGCGCGCAGTCCAATGGACATCGGGAGGCTCTATCTATTATTCAGCAATTGTTCGGTCAATGAGTAAAATTCTAATAGACACTTTTGTTTCAGCCAACCATCTTCGGAACCGTGGCCTCGGACCTCAATCCCAAGGATGGCAACAGTCGAAGGGTGAGTCTCTTCCCGTATGAACCTTTAGCAAGATTAACGGGCTCGCTGCTTCCCTGTGAGCAGAGACGCGAAGGAGAGTTTTCGGAATTGAAGGGAACCTAAGGAACAAATAGAAGCTGAGCGAAGCGGCAGACGGACACAGGAGTTGTTGAGGCTCCGCGCGGCGGTAGCTCTGCTATCTCTATATCCGTGAAAATGGAAATGGAAGGCTTCCCGAGCGTGGGAATAACGCACCCTTGGGATCTCTCTGGGTCGCGTAATGAGTAAAAATTGCTGCTAAGTCACTTCTGCTAACCGCAGGAGATAAAGACGTCGGATTTACTAATTAAAAGTTAGAGCCTTAGCAAGTAGCAAGACCGTTGGCAATTTCAAATAAAGATTTTAATCTCCCTGCTTCCTGTTTCGCCTCGAGTTTTTTACGCAATAGCGAAAAGATGCGGATTTTCCGGTCAGAAGGACCCACGTCTACGCGTCTTCGTGTTTCCGTGAGCGAATCGCGAGCTCACGCTCGCTGGTTTGAAATACGTCACTTATGTATTTATAGATTCCTGTAGTCTTGTCGTAAGGCAATTCGCAGTCAATAGGAACGTGAGCGTGAGCCTATTTCTTTGCCGAGGCTCCTCTTGCGCGTAAGATCAGGCAAGGGCAAAGGAAGACGACGACGTTTCCCTGATGAGAAACGACTTCGCAACTGTGGCACGCGAGTTTCGATTAACTAGAGAAAAATTGAGGATACTGGAGAAGCTCGGAAGGTGGGTAGCTGCGCGGAAGGCCATTACCGCCTTCGGACCTGATGCCATAAATAACGGCGGTTGTCGGCGCTGAAAATGGGAATGTAAACGCAAGCGCCTCGAATACCGAGCGAATTGCGTTTCAACGGGAATTGCGTAAATTAAAAGGCGAAGGCGGGGAGGGGACTCCGGCGAAGGAAGATCGTTTGGGACGCTCGTGCGGTTCTTTTCTTGTTGCCAAGTAAATGAACGGTTTCGCTGATTCTTTTTAGATACGTGCAAAATGTGAGCGACGAGTGAGTATACGAGCGGAAGGTACGTCTAGAGAATGGGCGGTTCAATGAAAGATTTCACGTCATATTTGTCGAGAGCAAATATTGCTGACGGCGCGAAACGAAACTGGAGCCTGTTTGGTTATGAATATAAATGCCGCCCAGAGCGTTTCGCTTCGTTTCTCGGATGCGCTTCCGATTTAATAAATAGTAAACGAACCCGAACGCTTTACGCTTTGCCGTCTGCCCTCCATCCTCCACCCTCCACCCTCCACCCTCCGTAATCTCTAGAACCAGGCCATTACATTGCTCCCGATAATAACTTCATCTCTACTCTCTTCTACAAGTCTATTCCAGTATTCTCTGGCAGATTGAGAAAAGGCTCGTTCGATCTCGATCTTGCCTGAACGTTTATCTCTCTTCTTTGGTCCCTCTTTCTCTGTACCGCAATCAGCTATCCATCTATAAATAAAGATTTCAAGTCGAGCGCAGATACAATTAGGCTTAGTATCGGTATAGAATAGTAAAGTTGCTTCAGAAGCCTCCGAGGTAGAATCGCCATAATAAATAAATAAATAAATAAATAAATACAAAAGTATAGATATGGAGCACTGTCTAGCTGCTCCATGTGTACGTGCTATCTGTGTCTCTCCCTATTGACTCCCTAATCGACTCTCCACTCCTGCGGGTCTTGTCTAGACTTCTCGGAGCGTCCCTCGGGAATGGTCCAGACCCATCGGGAGGACAGCGACGGCCGAATAATTATGCATCGCTTGATCGATCGGAGCTCGATGGAGCCTTGCAATATGCACAAAATTTGGCAGCGCACGCTGGTGCCAGCCAAGCTCGAATTAATGATCGAGCGCCGACGATGGGCAGTTTGTAACAATTAGACGATGCGATAATTCGACACCTCTAATTCGACAGCCCCACCTTCTCTCGCATTTCCATTCGAATCCACAGCATGTAATAAACACAATCTCACACTCGCGCGCGCACGCACACCCTCTCTCCTTCCTCTACCTATTTCCTCCTGTCGAACAGCCACCCTGTAGCTTTTAGCTGTAAATATTTCCGAAGTATTATATTTTGTTGAATTATTAGTTAGTGCCATGGTCGCAGCTAGACGCGACTAGTGCCAACAGGAAGAGAGAAGCCGATACTGCCGCAGTCCTGCAACTTCTGTCCCACATTGGAAATAGCCGTTTCTACGAATAATTTGATCTAGAAAGTAGGTCAATTATAAATACGATTAACTTTATCAGCTTCCTCGTCCTGTTGCGACTCGATGTCCAATTTTGACGACAGTCTATAGCTATAGTGTCGATGACGATGACGATGTTGTCGGTGCTGGTTGTGTTTACCGCAGCATCACCCGTGCGAATGGGGCAAAAGGTCGTTCGAGCTTAATCGGGTACACCCTGTAGATAATCAGGATAGCGGCGTTGCATACAGGGTGGACTAATAGGAGGATGGTAGAGGGTTGAGGGTAACCGAGAATATCCGAGAGCAGTCGAGAGAACAGCCGGGGGTCGAACGTTACGGGATTATGGTATGAACTAGCGCGTCAATCACTGCATTTGATATCATCATTGCCGCTGGCCGCCATAGGCGCTGCGTTGCCCATAGATTACAATGTGCCACACGTATTCCTAGTCTGCTGGAATCGCATGGATCACATGTCCTGGCCAAGCTACCGGGAGAATTCCTTCCTTCCACGGCCAATCCTCCCAGTCCTCAGGACAATCTCTTTCAGCTCGGCGCGGCTATATTTCTCGGAGCATTCTCTTTCAATTGAACATCACGTCCACACGGAAATAATTATCATTGATCGTTCAGTCATCATTGACAATCATTCCTCCTGAATGAATATTAGAAATTGTTCAACTTCAATCATCCGATTACAAATGGGGATTGAATAATTCAATAAGCTGCCTTAGTCTCTACCTTGGAGGAGCTCCCCCTTAGAACCCTCGAATAATTATTAACTCTTGTGAATTGATGGAGCTCCAACAATGATTTTGCTTCACGGCATTCCTGGGTTCCCGTGAGGGAAGTGTCGCACGCCCCGACACTGCGGGCGTGGGTGGGCAGGAGCCTGGGTCGTGTGATAAATTGAGCCGCAAGGGCTCGGCAACAGGAAGGCTCAAGGCTGCCTCGTCCCTACGTCCCTCTCAACGCAGTCGTACGCGCTCGCCGTTTCCGTTTGGCTCCTGCAACGCGGTAGACCAATTGCACCCAATCCACCGACTAGTGCACCACAGCAAGTCCCGGCGTGGAGGTTAGTGTCTGGCTGACATTTACCGCCGGTGCGGAGTTGCCACTGCGTGTTCCCTCTCGCCTCTTATCAATATCTCGCGCTAATTCACCCCGGAACGCCACGCGCAATTTCTGTCGCGCTCGCGAACTCTTGGGAGTCCGCGATGTCTCTCGCGCCATGAGAATACATGGCTTTCCACTAATCTCCCAAGAAGTTCCGTCGATGACCACGCGAATGAAATTCGAGAAATAATGTTATACTTGAAATGAAAATTTTCGCAGTTTCTGGTACTCTGGTGGACATTAGGAGGGGCGCAGCATCAGTGCAGTGATTAGGTTCGGTGCTGCGGGCGTGCAGGCAATTTGTCATCTGGCATAGTGACGCTGACGCAAGGCCGAGGCCGGCGGCGTCTGTGACGCTACTGGCTACGCCGCTCGCACGATGAGCTCGATCAGCTGTCAAGGACGCACCGCACGGCGCTTCGTCCCAGCCTCAACTTTGACGTCACTATGTTTTCGAAAAGAGCTCTGAATTCGTTGCGACACGTACGTGCCTACTTCCGAGTATTTTGGAAATAAATACATTTTGGCAATAAAAAGAATCAAATATAATAATATACATATATTTGCGTGTGCACCTGCGACGTACGAGTTCCTACTCAGAGCCCACAGGCTGCTCCAGTTAATAGTTCCGGTATTCGAATGATAACAACACACGTAGCGGCTGAACTGTGTGCGCGTGGGTGGATGTATTTTGCGTGAGACTCGATCCGATTTAATCCTTTCACAGGACATGTTGCGCACCGTCGAGCGATCGAAGCCGAAATGGATGCCGAGCAGGTTGCTGAATCTCGAATGACAAAGCCGCAGTGTCTCGCGAATCGTGCAAATCGACTGATTTCATTTAACGAGCTGAAGGCTTTCCACCTAGATGTGACATTGGCTCTAACTTCAGGAGCGGCGGGCTGCGAATTACTTGGATTCGAAGGCCAATTTCAACTCCAAGCAACTAGAATTCCTGATTCAGCAATGTCCATTCTCAGCGACTCGTTTAATTCCCATCGGCGTGTCTCCACTACAATATTAATTTGTTGCGACTCTTCTGCGCTAGGTGCCCCTGAAGCGCGCAAACCCTCATCCGAAACCTGATCGACTGAGCTTCTCTTCTTCGGAAACTGAGCAGTCGCTGCGGAAAATCAACTTGCTTTCAGACGAAGCTAAATATTTAACCTGATGTCCGCCTGTAAGCTTGTAAATCCGATTTCGCGATCGCATTCCGGCTTTATTCAGGATACGAAGGTTTTACTTCGTTTCGTTCTTCTCGAACGTTTCCTGTTTTTCTTCAGCCTCTAATTCTTGTTTTCTTGTCATTTTTTTATTTGCCCTGCATCCGTTCTCCACTCCCCCCTTCTCTCTCTCTCTCTCTCTCTCTGTCTCTCTTTCTCTTGTTTCCCCTCCTCTGACTCTCCTCTGCACCCGGCGTCTCTTAGGCACGCACGAACGGAGCTGATTTGCAGTGGAACGATGTACGGTGACTTATTGGGAAAATGCAAATTGAAAACCAATATTCGACCTTTACACTCCTCCATTCAATTTCCCATAGAACATCGCGAGTAGAGACCACGTCTCCTCTCTTTGCGCTTCTAGTTCCTTAAACTCTGCTTGGGACTGTACTCAGGACTCGACAGTGTCGTTACGGGTCCGCGTATTAAAATAACTAGCTTCAAGTTTCTGCTGA